TCGTGCAACAAATCTCTGCCATGTTCGAGCCACTCATTATACCAGGAAACAACATCGTCAAACTTCAATTGACACCATATTGGTCAACCAAAAATTGCATCACCAATCCTGTAATAACATTAGGATGGGAGGGGGGGGAGTGATTTTCATAACGTGCTCTTTTCACGATATACGATACGGAGTATCGCAAACAGGATATATCATGTTCTCCTTAATCGTGTGGCAATCGGTTCAGTGCATGTCGTTGTTGTAAGACTTTACATACATCAGGTTGATTGTATTGTATGGATACGAGGGGACGATGTCGTTTTTCATCATCATGATGACCCCACTGCCATTCTTTGATCCACGGTGAAAATACTTGGAAAACTAGTCGCAATCATGACACTACGAGCTAAATGGCAACCACTTCCCTGTGTCGTTGGTGTCGCGTTATTTCGTTATGAGATGCTGTTCAATGCCAATAGAGATTTCACAACCCCGACATTCAACTAATGATGCAACTGGTTAATATACAATTGCAGCGCTTCATAAACTTGACATTCTACATATCATGGATGAACTCGAGGACCTATAGAAAAATGTATGTATTAAGGTTTAATGGTTGAGCTACCTGAAACGACAAGATTCAGGAGAGCAGTACGTAGAGGTATACGAAAAAAAGGATGAAAATAGAGAGAGATGCAGAGAAAGAAGGAGCAGACGAAGATGTGAACAACAAACAAGCAACAAAGAAAGATGGAGACATGAACAATTGCTTAAATAGGCACATCGCCCCCACACATAATTTGTTCGACGTTTTCCTCTCATTTCTATACACTTCATTTGTTTTCATCTACTGAGACACTTAATGAGAAGAACAAGGGGAATGAATGCGTTACACCAAATGTGACTTCAACTTTTTAAATGACGGCCGATGCCACCCTTTATGCCCCGATGTAGGTTGACATTGCTTTTCTAAAAAGTTATGGGTTCGTTTTTCCTTGTCGACGATTTTTTTTTTCTCTTTTTCCTCTTTCTCGCGACTTCGTATGAAACAACAATATTTTTTGTCACCCGATAATCAAACAGTGACACACCTCACACATACACGTACATAACATTTTTGTATGAAAAACAACATGGCAAATGTTTTTTCAGTTGCAATCGCATTCCTACAGCGCATTGATTTCTTCATTTATCTTTCCCTCATTGTCTATGAATTTTATGTTTTTTTTTTCTTTTCGGTTCTGGTTTAAATCATCTTGATGCACCCTCTCGGACCTTTTTCTTTCGCATTCCGATACTGCGGAAAACCCGGCGGCAGCCACATACGGCGTGACCTCCGAACATCAAACGTTTTTTTCGCTATGATGGAACGTCGCCACTTTCTGTTGGAGGGCCAACAGCCTGTTTGGACTCGCGACCTTATAGGCCTGGCTAGGTCACTTAACTGTGCGTACTTAAGCACCATAACCATTTTCCGGAAAACACCCCGCTTTGTCCTACCCGTGTGGATGCACAACGACCGCTTGTGACCGACTCCCGTTGGTTGGCGCTACATGCTGCGAGCCCGCGTCCTCGCGGTATGTGAGTCCTCTCTGGCCCTGAAAAATGCTCCCACCCAATTCAATTAGGGTCAGATCCCACAGACAAAGAGGATTGGAAGAAGTGTCTGAATCTGGACGTGTTCCTCGCAAAGCTGCCAAAAAGTAAATCAATCCCAATTTTTCGCACTTGTCCACAAACACGTCCATATTCACTAACTTACTTTAATCCTCTTTGTCAGTGGGATCCCGCCCACCTGCCGAATCTGGACAGGACGACCTTTTAGGTCTTTTTTTATTGTTCGTAGCCAGGGGCCTCGACCCACATGCAACATGTAGTGCAGTTTGTGCACAGGGTGTGACAGGCCATAGCCGTCCAGAGGTCATAGATCAGATGAAATATGGCGAAGACGCTCGTCTTAGAAATGGTGGGCCTCTTTTATTGATACATGCCATTTTCCCATTTGTTTTCGGCAAGGAGGGAAGGCAGCGTTAGTGAGGCGGCTGTGTAATTAGCCACCTTCTGAAAAGCAGGGTGGCTAACTACACAGCGGGGTCTGGTCCGAAGGACTGAAAAGTTAAGAAAACGACGCGAAATAGGGCATGGGGGCGTTCATGGGTCCAGGCCGCAGATACGTGAATCTGCCAGTCTTCGTAGTGCAGACATATCGTCCCGTACTGAGGCTGAAGAACACTATTATCCTCTACCTCTGGTATGTGGAGTATGAACCTCAGTAATTGTAATGAGGCGTGTGGGATCTCTCAGTATCTGAATGTGCAAAAAAATACTGACTCTTCCGTTGGAACATGAACAGATACATTGCGTTTTTTTGTCTTCTCTGCATGTGGAGAGTAGTGCAGGGAGGCCGAAAGTGAAAGGAGCACAAAGGCGAGAGTTCGAATCCGCCATTGCATTAAAGCTCGTTTTTTTTTTTTTTTTTTGTAGAGACTTATAGTCTAATGCTCGCATACTTGGGGTTCGAATCACTGCTCAGGAAATGCCTCTGGGCCAAGTGTGGGGATTTTTGTTTTCCCATGGACCGACGCTTTCTTTTGCCTGCGGGCATGTTTGGCGTCTGCCACCTAAAGATAGACCACTGGATCCCCCGATCGGCATTGAGTAGAGTCTGCTAATGTTCGTAGGGGAGGGGACCTTAGGGGAGGCACAAGGATTGGTCCTGTTGGCATGGTCTGATGCTACCGGTCGTCCCCTAGCCGGTATCGCCCACCTGCAGGTCAGGAGCAGCCCCCACATGTTCTTTCGTGAACACGGTTCTGGCTGCTACGAGGTTCCCTGTATGCCTACAATTAGGAGTAGTGGTAGTGTGAGGTGAAATTGAGAGAAGAATATCACTTAAGAAAAAGAAAAAAAAAAAGGTAGCACTCTATATGGCCTCCTGCGAAGATCGGCCGCACACTCACTTGCTGCATGATTTTTACAATGAAGGGACCACCGTGACGTCATGGCACAAACAATATTGCAGAAGTACATTCCCCGCTCGCCGCTGTCACACTGTGTAGTTTTCATGCACTACACGGTGCATGTGGGCCGAGGCCCCAGGAGGCTGCGCTATACCCGGGTGGGCGGGAATATGGAGGAGAAGGGTCCCGCTATCGTTTCAGTTGTACTATCAGTGCCGGGGTGCGTTTTCAATTTGCACCCCGGCCGAACCTGTACCCAACCTATTTCCTTAGGCTGGAAAAAGCCCAGTGGTTACCTACTGGTGCTTTAAACCACCAATACTTGGCCCAACCATCAAGTCCGAGCCTTGGCCGACCGGTATGCCGAGCCTTGCCGAGGCTCGAACTACCGGTTGCTATCTTCCCAAACGTGTTTGGAGAAGAACACGAAATAAAGAAAGAAAAAAAAAACAAAAAGAACAGAATGCAAAAAGCAAAAAAAAAAAACAAACACAAAACGCGAAAAGCAACGACAGAAAAACGTGATCTACTCTAGAAAACATGGAAAAAAGAAAAAAAAAGACGGTTGCTACCTCCTCGACATGCACAAAAGACAACAATGAAGTTGGTGTAGCTTTGCATCTTCTAGCGAAAGATTCACTCTCCTTTCATTTTCGAAAAAGAGAGAGAGAGAGAGAGAGAGAGAGAGAGAGAGAGAGAGAGAGAGAGAGAGAGAGAGAGAGAGAGAGAGAGAGAGAGAGAGAGAGAGA